GTTTCCCCCCACAGTCCAAAGACATGCTGAGGCTAATTGGCGTTGCTAAATTGCCCTTAGGTGTGCATGTGTGGGTGGCTGGTGTGTGAGTGTGCCCTGCGATGGGCTGGCCCCCCATCCAGGGTTGTTCCCTGCCTCGTGCCCGTTGCTTCCGGGATAGGCTCCGGACCCCCCGCGACCCAGTAGGATAAGCGGGTTGGAGGATGGATGGATGGATAGATCTACTCATAAGAAAAGACATTGACAGATGGTCCACGTATCCAATGGGGTTGTATGATAGGATCAATGTGATAAAAATGAATATTCTACCTCATCTTTTATTTCTGTTTCGGTCCCTTCCAATTAACATTCCGAATTCACAATTTGTTAGATGGGATAAACTTATCTCTAGATTTGTTTGGGAGGGTAAAAAACCTAGGATACGTTACTCAACCCTACCTAAAGAAAAAGGGGGAAGGTCTCTTCCTAACTTAAAGGAATACTATAATGCAGCGCAGGTGTGTCCACTAATTCAATGGTGCAACCCGGGGTATGTAACTCATTGGAAAAATATTGAATTATCCAGTAATAAATACCCCATTCAAACACTGATAGGGGAAAAAAAGATTTTGCCCTGTATAGAAAAAGAAAACCTAGAATTAGACCCCATTACATATTTTACCTTAGAAAATTGGCAAACCACTTGCAAACGACTAGACGTGGGAAAGGAACTTGGCTTATTGAGATGGGTCAGATGGGATGATAAATTTGATTCAGGAAGATTAGATAACACTTTTAAGCAGTGGGCAGGAAGGGGTATGACAGCTTCATGCAAAATAATAAAGAATGGGGAAATGATTAGCTTTCAGGACATGAAAGACACATACCATTTAAGGAATCAGGATCTATTTAGATATCTNGATTGCTTTAAATCAATTTATAAATCACCCACGGCTCGTGTCAAAGTGAATGGATCCTTATCAGAAAGATTTGAACTGGAGAGAGGAACAAGACAAGGTTGTTGCCTTAGTCCTTCGTTATTTGCGTTATATATAGAACCTCTGGCACAGATGATCAGGCAGGATACCACAATAACAGGAATAAACATAAAAGAACGAAAACATGTAATAAGTCTCTTCGCAGATGATGTTTTAGTCTACCTAGACAATCCAGCTAAAACTTTTACACACCTAATGGAAATTCTAGAACAGTTTGGCTCTTACTCCGGTTATAAATTGAATTTACAAAAGACTCAGGTTCTTATGTTCAATTGCTCCCCAACCCCGAATCTTAAAGAATTTAAAATAAAATGGGGAGCTAAGACATTAACCTACCTAGGAATAAAAATACCTAAAAACTTAATAAATTTATATAAATATAATTATGAAGAACTAGATCTACTCATAAGAAAAGACATTGACAGATGGTCCACGTATCCAATGGGGTTGTATGATAGGATCAATGTGATAAAAATAAATATTCTACCTCGTCTTTTATTTCTGTTTCGGTCCCTTCCAATTAACATTCCAAATTCACAATTTGTCAGATGGGATAAACTTATCTCTAGATTTGTTTGGGAAGGTAAAAAACCTAGGATACGTTACTCAACCCTCCAGTTACCTAAAGAAAAAGGGGGAAGGTCTCTTCCTAACTTAAAGGAATACTATAATGCAGCGCAGGTGTGTCCACTAATTCAGTGGTGCAACCCGGGGTATGTAAATCATTGGAAAAATATTGAATTATCCGGTAATAAATACCCCATTCAAACACTGATAGGGGAAAAAAAGATTTTGCCCTGTATAGAAAAAGAAAACCTAGAATTAGACCCCATTACATTTTTTACCTTAGAAAATTGGCAAACCATTTGCAAACGACTAGACGTGGGAAAGGAACTTGGCTTATTGAGATGGGT